TATATATCTAATAATATCTAATAATCCTGACCACAACGTGGTATTGGCTTAGACCACATGCCATCCGTACATATTCTCGTGTCATTAATGTCCATCATTTGGTTGTTATTATCAATACATTTATATTTAATAACAGTTCCGTGACTGACATTTTTAATACTATATTTCTCACTAATATTTCTATTAATGACCGTATAGTTTGTTAATTTATAAACACCTGGACTTCCACAACTATTTCCAAAACAATTTGTTTTATAAAGTAAATTATATATTAAATATAAACAGACTACTATATTTATTGTGCTAAACATATTTAATATTGAAATGTGTATTGTATTCATAGCATATTATTGTTATAACTTATTATTACGAGAGAAAGTATTATAATGTATAGTATATCAGGAAAGAAGTCATTTCCAGGATTTGGTTGACTTTCTATTAAAAACTTGTCATAAACTATAATAAATTGAAACTAATTCATTAGTCTAGTTTTAGTTTGACTTTGTAAAACTTATACCGTATTGATTCTTAAAATATAATTTTCCTAGAATCAATGTCTATTATATTTAACAACATGAATATAAATAATTTTAAATTCAAATTTATAAAATAAAAATTTCAAATAATCTTATTGTTTATTTGTGTATTACCATAATTACATCAATTTAATCCTATTACAATCATTGATAGCATACTTGAATATCCTTATCTTACAAATCAATAATTTGAGTCCTTTATGTTTCTTACTTCTGATCTTAAATTTCAATTTAATTTGATTAGTTTTGGCGTTTGTTTCTAATAGTTTAGGGTCTTTGACGAGTTGTGTTTCATTAAATTTGCATTTTATGAAAATATCTTCAATTAAGTGATCACTTAATATATATTCGTCTCGACGGACGACATCGCAAACAGACATCGAGTGTATGAATGCATTCACATTAATATTCATTTTTCTCAAGCTTTTTATCTCTGGATAAGCGATCGATAGTTGAAAATAATTGAATAATATTTTGTTATTCAAATTAATATTTAAATACTGTCGGGAAATGTCACCGATTGTGATGTTAAGGCAGTCATAGGGCCAGTGAGAGGCCAGGTATGTGGCATTAGAGCTGGTTTGGTTGTCTGTAAGCGTTATATTACCAATAGGTTTACCTTGAGTATCATCATAAACTTCAATATAATTAACAACGATTGTATTATCCAACGATTGTGCTTGGCCAGGTATGTGGCATTAGAGCTGGTTTGGTTGTCTGTAAGCATTATATTACCAATAGGTTTACCTTGAGTATCATCATAAACTTCAATATAATTAACAACGATTGTATTATCCAACGATTGTGCTATAAATTAAAAAATAATTTATGAAAAATATATAAATATAATTGTATATATATATATATATATATCTAATAATATCTAATAATCCTGACCACAACGTGGTATTGGCTTAGACCACATGCCATCCGTACATATTCTCGTGTCATTAATGTCCATCATTTGGTTGTTATTATCAATACATTTATATTGAATAACAGTTCCGTCACTGAAATTTTTAATCCTATATTTCTCACTAATATTTCTATTAATAACCGTATAATTTGTTAATTTATAAACACCTGGAATTCCACAACTATTTCCAAAACAATTTGTTTTATAAAGACAATTATATATTAAATATAAACAGACTACTATATTTATTGTGCTAGACATATTTAATTTAATATTGAAATGTGTATTGTATTCATCGAATATTATTGTCATAACTTATTATTATGAGAGAAAGTATTATAATGTAATGTATAGTAAGTTATATCAGGAAAGAAGTCATTTCCAGGAATTGGTTGACTTTCTATTAAAGGCTTGTCATAAACTATAACGAATTGAAACTAATTCATTAGTCTAGTTTTAGTTTGACTTATAATATAATTTTCCTAAAATCAATGTCTATTATATTTAACAACATGAATATAAATAATTTTAAATTCAAATTTATAAAATAAAAATTTCATATAATCTTATTGTTTATTTGTGTATTACCATAATTACATCAATTTAATCCTATTACTTAATAAAGTTAATTTATTACTACTATAATTTATTCAATAAAATGGTTTTAATTTATTATATTATACTATAATATATCAATTTTCCTTAATTATCATTACATTGGAGTCACTCTTTGAAAAAAACATTTAATTAGTAAACATAAAGCTCTATTAAAATCTATTGTATCCAGTAAATTAGAAAATTGAGTTATCCTTCAGATTTATTGAGACAAACAATATACAGTATAGTAATACATATTTATATGGCACTTGTATATATATATTTATATAGCTATAGAATAATGTATTGAAATCACATATCGAGCACAATAAACAACTGAATAAAGAGTTTGCATAATATGTGTCGATAATACTACAAGTCATTCAATGGTTTAAATTAAATCACATAATTAATTGAAATATTATTGGGTGAGTATCTCATAGTTACCTATTTTATAATAATTTATTAATGCATGAAACTATAGTTAATGTTATTATTTGTCCAATAAATATAATTAAAATTGGTGTATTGACAGAATAAATTATATTTACTGTTCTACTTCTACTCAAAATGTTCACAAATATTATTTAAAGTTCTTAAAAATATTATTTAATTGGAAAAAATATTATTATTAGATTTTATTTGTTGAAAATTAAAAACAAAAATCCTTAATTTGCTTGTATAGTATTTAGAATATCTTAAATAAGATTTGATTTGATTATATTTTCAGGTTTATTCAATAATATTATAGTTTGTGATTTTTTATTACTGTATAATGCTGTATAGACTTATTACAAATAGAAATACAAATAAAAATGAAATACAATAACATTTATGCATAAGTCACAATATTGTATAAAGTTTTTATCAATCATATATAATCTTCCAAAGAATCTAATTTTAAACCGAAAACAATTCAAATATGTTTAAATAATAAGCTCAGATGATTAGTAAACTAAAATGTTGGATAACATGTATAATACACTAGACTGCGAGTGTTTCCAGTCCATTGGTTGAGGTATTTATTGAAACATAAAAGTAAAAGTTTTCACTTCAAAACACAAACATTGAGTGAAAGTATTCTATAAATATAATACAATTTTATTTCCAAAACACTGCACACCTAAAGTTGTCATAAGGTTTTACGATTCAAACATTAAAAAACTAAATTCAAACTTATTCTCACAAATATTTCAAACCTAGTATACTATCATTAAATAAGCAATTATACTGAAGACTTGTAATTATTCTTGTGACTAATTTTGTACGTATGTATTATACTGTATAATACGTCAGAACTATAATTGATAAAATTTTAATTTATTTCATTACTACACTATTCCAATATGTTTACACATGTTTAGTATGCAGTATATTATTTAGACATTTTATGTTTTGAATCATAAAAAGTCATTTGTTTTACAGTGCATTTGAAAATGAATTTATCGGTATTTGTGTCGTTAATAACATTACTTGTTATGAGAAGTGATGGCAAACCATCAAAAGATGACTCCATTATCACAAACGAGGATAAGGCGAAGGAGTATCTGAAAGAAGTGAATGGAAGAATGGAAGTGGAGTATAGGAAGCAGTCGGAGGCATGGTGGGGCTACTCCACTGATATGAATAATCGCACACTGGAAGCACAGGTATGACTACTGAGTGGTTGCACTAATAAGTTAGTAGTCGTCTAATACTGTAATATATTGCACTTTTATTAGTTGATAAATATACAATTAGTTTTGTGAACCAATTATCAATAAGTTAGAGAGTACAATCTAGATTTCATAAAGATACAAAAATAACTTTACAAAGGGATTAAAATAATTTAAAGTAAAACCACAAAATCAATATACAGTACATCGTATAGATTCTATACTACAGAATCAATCCCACAGATACCGTAATAAAAAGTTATAAAATTATTACATTCATTCACTATTACTTTATCTATTTTTAAACATTTAATTTTAAACCAAATTTATTATCTTAAGACCAAAGCTATGGAAGCATTTGATGAGTTCCAGAAGAAGCAGGCAATTGAGACAAAGAGATATAATTGGACTAATTTTGATGAATATAATCGGAGACAGTTTGACAGGTTGGCTCTCATTGGGACGTCAGCTCTCAGTGAAAAGGACAGTAAAACAGTAATGAAATGAACTTTGTAGTTATAAATCACATTGCTGAAACATAAATTGAAATTTAAAGTTTACTCGAGTGACCACAGAAATGGAGACAATATATAGTAGCGCCAAGATATGCGTGGCCGACAAATGTGATCTTGAATTAGACCCTGGTATTCATAGAACTTGTAATAACTGAGCAAAAGTGCCTTTTAAAAATAAATGTATGCATAGATTTGGAGAAACTAATGGCTGAGTCTAAAGATTACGACAAATTACTAGAGGCGTGGGTTAAATGGAGGGACGCGTCGGGAAAACTAATGCGAAAAAATTATATTAAATATTATCATTTAGGCAATAAAGCGGCCAAACTTAACAAAGTGCTCAATAGAGGTATTCATTGATATCTTGTTGTCTATGTGTTTCTAGGTGTCTAGGTGCCTAGGTGTAGGTGTCTAGGTGTCTAGGTGTCTAGGTGTCTAGGTGTCTAGGTGTCTAGGTGTCTATGTCTATGTGTTTGTATAATAGTTTTGCAATTTCATTAGAGTTCAAAACATTGGACGATATTTGGCTCTACAGTTGGGAAACGGATGATATTAGGGAGCAAACGGCTAAACAATTGGACCAAATGTTACCATTCTATCAGAAGATTCACGCATTTGTGAGAATGAGGTTAGAGAAGGCATTCCCCGACAAAATGCCTAAAGACCGCACAATACCCGCACATCTGTTGGGCAATATGTGGGCCCAACAGTGGGGTAACATTATGAATACCGTGCCCGGAGTGGATCCCTTTCCTAGTTTGGCACCTATTGATGTGACAAATGAAATGAAAGCACAGGTATGTACAGTATGGTGTAGTGTTACTAGACGGAGAAATTTATAATTAAATACAATTAATTGTTTAATGATTACAGAAATATACGGCGAAAAGAATGTTTGAATTATCGGAACAATTCTTTGTTGACTTGGGTTTCGAGAAAATGACTCAAAAATTCTGGGAAAAGTCTGTTATTGAGAAACACAAGGATAATAGATCGATGGTCTGGTATGTCATGTTGTTTCTCGGAATTGCATTTACAGTATAACACAATTTAATTGAAATAATGTGTTGCAGTCACGCGTCCGCCTGGGACTTCTATACCCAGGATGACTTTAGGTTTGTTTTGTACACTATTTTTTGTGTTTCCATCACTTGTTATATAATATGACAATTGATGACTGAAGGATCAAACAGTGCACTGATGTCGATATGGAGGACTTGATTATAATCCACCACGAAATGGGTCACATCGAGTATTTCATGCAATATAGGGCACAGCCGGCTGTATATCGTGACGGAGCTAATCCTGGTTTGAGACAAAATCTGTTTCCACAAAGTTATCAAATATTCATCTAATATTCACTTTAGGTTTTCACGAAGCGATTGGAGATCTGATTGCCTTATCTGTGGCCACACCTAAACATCTGAACAAAATAGGACTCTTAAGAATGGATGACTCGATTGATATGAAGAAAATCAATATTAAGTTCCAACTGAAGATGGCTTTGGATAAACTGGCTTTTCTGCCATTTGGGTTCATTGTCGAGTGAGAATACATTTTTATTTTGGCATCACTTATATAATTAATATAATACTGTTTGTGAAGCAAATGGCGGTGGGATGTGTTCTCGGGTAATGTGTCCAAAGATCACCTGAACCGGCACTGGTGGCAGTTGAGGGGACAATACCAAGGAGTGTCTCCACCGGTCACCAGAAGTGAGGATGATTTTGATCCCGGTGCTAAATATCATATTCCGACTAGTGTTGAGTATATCCGGTAAGTTTCGGTTGTGTTTACCAGTTAGTCATTAACTGTTAATATATAATACAAATGTACGGTATATTTGAATACCAGGTATTTCGCGGCACATATTCTTCAGTTCCAGTTCCACAAAGCTCTGTGCGGTTTCGGTCAAAAGGGAGTTCCTCTGCACGAGTGTGACATCGATGGCGACAAAGAGGCCGGAAATAAACTGAAGTATGTCTGCCATCAGAATACTTGAGATGAACAGTCCATACAAAGAGATAACAATCATTGATTGGTTAATCATATATTAATAGCTCATTATTTGTTGCATTTATAGAGAAATGCTATCTCAAGGCGTTTCTAAGAAATGGCCACAACTTTTAAAAGAATTGACCGGAAGTGAGACAATGGATGTACAGCCAATGCTTGAATATTTTCAGCCATTACAAGAATTTTTGGACAATGAATTAAAAGGACAGACACTGGGATGGGATTATGATGGTATTTTGATATTTTCAAACATCTATAATATAGACTAATGCATAAATAGTATATTTTATTAATTTCTGTTTTCCTTTTTAGTAAATCATTATTTCAAGTCATCGGCAAATGATTTCAATTCTATTAATGTATTTTCATTACTAATAAGTATTTGTATTTCACTCGTATTCATAACATAATTTTTGCACTGATTGTCATTTCAAAAATTGTATGCATTTTTCAAATGTCGTTTCATTAAAATAAAATTCATACGAGTAATCATAAATGTGATAATAATATACTGTACTGTACAGTAAATCATTGATTATTAACCATTCAGACTTTTGTTAGTTTATCGTAATTTGTTCAGTTAACAAAAAAGAGTTCATGTAAACAATGAAGTTTATAAATTAACGGTTAACATGATTTAAATGTAATTATAATTTTATTCAAACAGATATAAATTTATATCCAAAATAAAATTCTTATAACTTATTAGGAAAATGCAAAAGAATTTGTGGTATACTTGGAGAGGGTTATCAGTTTTAGTTCATATAATCGCTGTATTATGTTATGGGTTTGCATTTATATTTCAAATTCTGTATCCCCGGGGCTATTATTGGAGGGAAAATGATAGAGATTTAGAGCGACTGAATCGGACTGATTTGAGTGCTCCGGGAGAGTACACCATTGGCTGGAAGTTTAAATTCTTGACCTTTTGGACTCTCGTATGAAATCATATCCACTATAATCACAAAATTATTTATAATTTATGTTTAACTCGTTAACAGACGGTTAACTTAAGTGTATTCCTGTTGTGTCTGATATGTGATTGTTTCAATTACAACTACTTACCACTAAATCAATTAGAAAACACAAATATTAAGATTTTGTTTCAAATCCGTGATACTATGTTTCATACCTTAGTCTTTCCAATGGGAACTGTATGTTAATTTATAAACTTTTTCAAAACCATTTCATAATTTTAATAAAAATATTGAATTCTTGCAGTTTGTATTTACGATGTTTTTCCTATTATTGGCGATCAAAAAGGATTTGCTATCGGATGCGGTTTATCATCGAAGAAACCCTGCATTTTTGTCACATTTAACAGTAAATCAATTTAATATAATTAATAATTTTTATTTCTACATTTTAATACTTTTACAAATCAAAGCACACAATAGTAATGCCAATACTTATAAGTGAATCATTGGTAACATATCACAAAAAGTGGACAAAATTAATGGTTGATCTACTAATAGTATTGAGTGGATTCTCATTGTATGCAATCTGGGTACTTGTTCTAGGACTTTTTTACAGTGTATGGCCCTATGAGATGCTCAAACTCACGAGCTGGATACAAAGAATTGGTTTCACATTTGTTTGCCTTATAATAGCCATAATGTGTTACTTTTTGGGTGCACTCATACACAAGTTCTTGTGGCCTCAAAGTCGTGTTAATGATTGGATTAATGAATCCAATGAACAAAATTGATTATTCAAATTATAATCAATTTTGTAACTATTATTGTGTGATAAATATCTAAAAACTTTTTTAGTGTTCAATGTCAACAAAAAATGCAAATGTAATTTAATTTAAATAAAGCAAATGTTTTTCCAAATAAAATTTATTTACGGTAATACTGCATGTTATTTTTTATATAAAAACTGTTTAAAAACTAATGAATTATTTATGAGAGCAAAGTATACGTATAAATAAATTGTAAAATATATGTAATTATAATAAATATGAATAATCTTAACGAATGTTAACATTAAGTTTGTCGACAATCTTTTGGATGACATTTGACTGACTGTTGGACAGGAGAGAGAAGAAGCCTTCGGACACTTCGCGCCACTCGAGACCATCGCGGATGTGATGGTTGAATGGGTTGGAGGCAGTGGTGTAGTGGATGTGCCACAACTCCATTTCCTTCCAGGCCTGGTCTGTGTTGAGGGGGTCATCAAAATAGCCTTTCATAAGTCGCTCGCATTTAAAACTATGTGCGTTATTGGCATTATTGGTGTCATTATTATCTTCATTCTGTTCATTGAATCCTCGAAACCAATCCATCATTTTCTCGGATTCACTCCAATTCTTGTGCTCAGAATCTTCTGTACGGAAGAGTGCCTCCAGTCCTATGTATGTCATCTCACCCAATATGAATCTCACCGGTAGTGACACTCCAGTCAATACATTTAAATTCTCAACCAATACTTCCAATTCATTATCGTTTAGTCTAATAGATTGGGAATCATTTACAATCAAAACCTATGATAAAAGCAACACAACTGTAATGAATACCGGGTTATAACGAGCATAACGTAGTGATTGGGACCCCATCTCAACAAAGAGCCCTTTCCTCTAAGTCCAGTTCTGCCGAATGGGTTGATTGGGATTCCGTTTTCAAGTTTATAGATTATATTCTGGTTATCAGACATTTCCCACGATTGGCGGTCTATTGAAATGCCGGCCGCATTAGTCGAGGGTCTGTTCCACTCATACACCGGCAGTTGTATTGACGGGGTTTCCAACTTCAGCATCTGAAGGGCCAGTATGTCCTCATCAGCCAAGTCTTGAATTGAAACGCCAAACTCGTGTTTGCGTTTAGTGTAAGCTATGGGGTCGTAGTCCACCCACATTACATCCCACGAGACATACTTGTCGGGCACGGGATAGCGCTGGACAGTTGTGTTAGGGTATGGCGATTGACGAGAGAACACGTGAACCAATTTCTTAGCCCTAACACCACCTAAATCTAGACCTGTTTTCTTAGCGATGAAATGCTTGAAATACTCCAAATTGACAGAAGTCTGTCGGAGCGCTCTCTCCATCTCCGCCTGTTTGCCCTTCAATTGTCTCAACCCTCGCCTCTGGAACTCCATTTCCATACTGTTGGCCAGAATTCGGTCGTATTGATTGGTTGCCATCGTTTCAGCGCTCATTTTATTGTGATGTTCGTCATATACCTGAGTGGCCAGTAGTTTAAGGTATGTGTAGTCGTCATCAGCAAGAGATTTGCCCTGAAATTGGGACTCAACTGAAGATACGAACAACTCTTTAAATTTCTATTTAAATAAGAGTTGTATTAAACTATTAAAACATTGAATACTAATAACTTTATGGATAATACATACGAGTTTGTGTCCTCTAGTGAAGGGTCGGTATTGTAGTACTTTCCCCAACCAGTTACACATCCAATAGCAGTAGTAAAAGAAGTTGAGTGGAGGCGGGAAAGGGGTCCGGTTCGCGAAATCCATGACCAGTCCGTAGCGCTGGTACTTCCAGATGGTGTCCGTATCGGACGCGAGTCGCGATGAACTCGAAGCAAATATAGCGAACAATAGTGTATTGAGAATAAGCTTTAATAATATGAAGTATGAGATGAAGAAGATGTAAGACCAGACCCCTGTCACTCGACAGACCTCTTGGCTGTAGGAATATTCATATACTTTAAATACTGGGTCTCTATACAGTATACATTAAATAGAGTGGACTCACGTGTATTCACTTGCGTAACAAACTCCCGGTTCATCCGTATTGTTGGCATTGGATCGCAAATATTGAGCGCAACTCTGGTCCACTAAAATCAACAAATTTAATAAATTAATTATATATTTAGATAAAAATATATACGTTTATAGATTACCTGACATCTCGTCCATCGATATCTTAAATATCATGAAAAAGGCCCGGTATGCCAGGTCTAGGAACACTTTGTGATCCATTGACAAATCAGGATATAGTATGGCCTGTAAGATAACACCGAAACTAATCATCACCAAAATGGACAGTCGTATCCAATTGACAAAATCCAATAAAATCATTATTTTTATGCGATATATAAGTGGTCCTAAAGTGGGAGAAATGGGCAGAAATTTGCTGAATAGTGTGTAATAAGCGTGAAGAAGACCCAAACTCAGCACAACCTTCTCGTCGTACGGGCGAAAGAGAGCGAACGCCGACTCAATGCTAGTCATGAGCCGATGGGACACATAAATGGTTAGGAAAAACATTTTGAAACTAATCTCTACGACACGAAACGTGAGCGAAGTATTAGCCGTCAGTTTATTCATGATATATGCCTGTCGTATGTCATCACCAATGATGAGTGCCGTCCAAATACAGACACATAAATCCAAGTAAAAGTTTCCGCACCGGGGGTACAGCACAGCCACACTGAATATGGATAAGTATAAGGTATAGAAGAACTGGAAGTTCCAGAACTTAGT